AGATATCAGCATCGAGGTGACAGAAATGTTAGAGGTATTAGAAAAGAATTTGAAAGTAGCCATTGCCAAAAATACTTTAATGGGTAATTATTAACACATTCAAAAGAATGAAAAAATAGAAAGTCTCAACAAAGAAACAGAAGACAAAGAAGAATCAAATGCAAACTTTAGAACYAAAAAGGATAACTGATATTAAACAAAAAAAGAATGGAGTACAGAAGGCAGAATCCACAACTTGGAGGAAGCAGTAGGAATTACCCAATCTGAAAAACAGAAAACAGCAATAATAATAATAATAATAATAATAATAATAATAATAATAATAAAGAGTTTAATGTCACTGGAATCCAGTCAAAGAAGAGGATGTGGTCAAGCCTGGAATAGTACTCTAAGAAATCGGGCTGAACATCTTCCAAATTTGACAAGAACCTATAGATTGACAAATTGAGTGCAATTTGAACAGTTAAAGACAAAGAAATATATGCCAAGGTACATCATAACTAATATTCTGAGCTCTAAAGACAAAGAAAAATATTGAAGTTCTAAGAAAAAAGTAAAAATTTATTTATAAAAGGGAAAACAATTTGAATGACAGTGGACTTCTCATCAGACGCCATGCAGGCTACAGGAAGAGGCATTGCAGTTCTGAACCACGAGAAGAACTGCACACTGCAAATCCTGAAACACCCAAATATAGTTTTCAGAATGAAGATGAAGTTAAGTCATTCTCAGATCACGGCAAATTAAGAGAATTTTTCCCCTAGCAGACCTGCCCTAGAGGAATGTCTAAGAAAGTTCTCTTAACAGAAAGGAAGCAATAAAAAAGGAAGAAAAAACATGACAAAATAAAAGTAGATACAAAATGCTTTCCTTTTCTTCTTGAGTTTTCTAAATGATGTATTTCAGTTGAAGCAAAAATTATAAAAGTTTCTTATGTGGTTCTAAATATATGTGGAAGAAATATTTMAGACAGTTATAACTAGGGAGAATAATGGCACAAAATAGAGAGGTAAGGTTTCTACATTGAATTTGAACTGGTAAAATAATAATACTAGTAGATGTGGTAAGATAAAAATATATATGTATACATGCATACATGTATATGTATAGACATGTATATGCACATACATGTTTATATGTATGTATGTGTGCATATATGTATATATGTACACATTTTTGTATATACATATATCATAATACCTAGACCAATAATTTTAAAAAGCTACCTAATGAGATACACTAAAAATRCAATTGATAAAATAGGATTCTAAATATGTTCAACTAACCCACAAGAGGTCAGGAAAAAGAAAATAGAGATTGAAAGTGAAAAACAAAGATGACATGGCATATTTTACCCTTAACATATCAATAATTGCATTGATTGTAAATGTTTAAATATAACAATTAAAAGGCAGAGATTGGTGGAGTAGATTAAAAACCATGACSCAAAGATATACTATCTACAAAAAAWTTTTTTTGATGCTATCGTCAGGATGAAAGTAAAATGAAATGAAAAATAATATGTGAAACAAATATTAATCAAAGAAAATTGGATTGGCTAATATAATATCAAATAAAGTAAARTATAGAGGAAAAAAAACAGAAAGGGGCATTGCATAATGTAAAGGAGATCAGTTAGAGACATTGCATAATGAGAACAAGGGACAATATGCCAAAAAGTCATGAAAATCCTAAGAGTGTACAACCAAAGTACAGCATGGCCAAATATATGAAGCAGATCTGAAAGGAGAAACAGACAATTTCTCAGTTACAGGTGGTGGATACTTGACAACCCTTTCTCAACAACTGATAAAACAACTACTTGAAAATCAGCCAAGACATAGAAAAACACARTATCATCAAGGAACAGGCCTTAATCAAAACATACAGAACATTCTACTCAGCAACAGCAGGAGATGTKTGTTGTATGTACCACACAACACATAGCAAGACAGATTATATTTTGGGCCATAAAACAAACTTCAACAAATTAAAAATTCTGAAATCATATAGACTTTTCAAAATAATCCATGGATCTCAAGAGAAATTTTTTAAAAATTGAGTGAAAATGAAATGCTACATAATAAACTTTTGGGACATAGCTACAACTGTGCTGAGAGGGAAATTCATTAGCACTAAACACATAAAAATAGACAGGAGTAGAAGTCTCAAATCAGTAATCTAGGCTCCTATTTCAAAAACTAGAAAATTAATGGAAATCAAGTACAAAAAAAGGAAGTAACATGAATAAAATGAAAGCAGAAAAACAAACCAAACATTGAAATAAAATTGAAAACCTCCTAGCAAGACTGACAAGGAAAAAAGAGAAGATACAAATGATAAATATCGAAAGTGAACAATGGATACAATGGATACCATTACAAATATCAAAAGGATGTTGGAAAAGGACCAACTGTTTTATACATACAAATTTGACAACTTTCATGAAATAGGCCAGTTCCTCAAAAAACACAGACCACAGTAAGTCATTCGATAGGAAACGGATCATTTGAATACCTCTATAGCCACTAAGGAAATTATATTCATAATTCCCAGTCTCCAAAACTCCATATTAGAAAGTGACAGAAGAAAAATCATATGAGTGTACTTATTGATGCAGAAAAAACATTTGGTACAATTGAACATTCATTCATTCAAAACTTAAAACTCAGAAAAATATGAAGAGGGGAACTTCCTTAAATTAATAAAGACAATTTACTCAAAATTCATATTTTATCCATAATAGTATAAACAGGAAACAACCCAGAGTAGTTTTAATGGTGTATGGTTAAACTGCAGTACATCCACACCAAGGAACACTAATCAGCATTAGAAAGTACTGAACTACAATTTATGTAAATCTCCAGAGACTTATGCTGAGTGAAAAGAAGCCAAGCCAAAGAGTACATGCTATGTGGTTCTCAAAATAACAAAACCATGGAAGTGGCAAAGAGATAGTTGTTGCCAGCAGGTAAGAGCTGGAGGGTGGGATTGGAACAAAACGCCGTGTCCATATAAGAAGTTACTGAGGGATCTTTGTGGTGATAAAAATGCTGTTTCTTGTACGTATTAATGTCAACAACATCATAATAAATTCCAGGGGTTTTGCAAGATAATACCATTGGGGAAACTGGATAAAGGATACATGGTTTCTCTATATATTATTTCCTACAACTGAGTAAAATTAGCTGAATAAAAAGTTAGATAAGCAAAGTAAAATGAGGTTTCCGCTACCCAGTAATCAGCACTCTACAGAAAAGACACTCATGCATGCACCCACATGTGCCCATGCACACAAGCCCTACACAGACACTGTGGCACTATAATTTACCTTAAGTATGAGTCCATGCATCCATGCTGGTTTATTTGGGCCAAGTTTTCTCTCCTTAATAGCATCCAATTTTTGAGGATGTTATTAAGGTGCCATGTTGATAGGTGGTGATCTTTTTTTAAAGTAACTTCTTGTGCAAAAAGGAAAAAATAAGTCAGTCCTTGATCAAGTCCCCCAAATTTGCTATTTCATGAATGACAAAAGTCCAGGAATCACAACTCTTCAGTTTCTATGACAGTAATGCAGTTGAAAGTGTACTTCTCTGTATAYAATCGCTAGCTTAGAGTGCTACATAACATAGTTGTCAAATGCATGTGGCTATTTGACAATTGAGTGAATCTGACTGAAAATGATGGTGTAGAATTTTAATACCAGAAGAAATTTCAAACCTTCAGTGAGGAAGAGGAAATTTTGCTTCCCACTGGTGATATCAGGTGTTGCCTCAATTACTCACATAACCACTTACTGGGAAGAAGCGCTGTGTAGTGGGGAAGTTCCAAATCTAATAAGTGCCTTTGGGTTACTTCACTTTCCTCTGCCTCTTCAGTATTCCATCATCTTAATAGTTCTTAATAGCCAGCTCACTTTCAAGTATTACCCTTCCCATGTGTGTGTGTGTGTGTGTGTGTGTGTATATATATATATATTATATCTTTATATATTTAGTATGTATTATAGATATGTTAATGTGTTTGTTGAAATTAAACTTTTAACAAAACTTAAAATTAATATCAATGAGTTGAAATAGTAAATTATTTTTTGGCTTGTACATATTGTGAGAAAACAATCATGAATTTGTTAGAATGGCACATGAAATGACTAGTATTTTCCTTTATTTTATAAGTAGGAAAGACAAGCATKTTTAGTCTACCTGTAAGGAATGATACAGTAGACTATAATTTTCTAAATAGCTCACTTAGCACTTCGAATTTTATAAACTTGATGAATTAGTTTAGATATAAATAATGCAGATTGAAAAGATGTGCTCAATGTTAATAATTCTAAAGAAAATATTTCCTCTTTAATATTACCATTTTGGAGGTGACATCTCATATTATCTATTCTAAAATTGCTTTCTCATGAATTCATATTACCAAATGCATGCTATTCACACACAYAGTATGCTACCATTTTTCTTTATAAACTCTCTAGTTTATTATTCATTTTATACCACATTTTATAATTTTTGTTAATATTCATAATATGAGAACATTCATCACTATTTTATGTTTACAAAGAAAGAGGGAAAGGAAATATTTTAAATTTATTACTTTAGTTTCCACAACAGGTATCAAACCTGATGTCAGAATTTACAGTTATTAGAAATGTTTAAAGTCTTAACACTCTGAACTTAGCTCCATTAAATTGTTTTCCTTAGCTGTAAAGCCAAGCTTCTCTTCCTTACAAGGTGGTATCTGAAGTGGCATTTTCTAAGGAAGCTTTCTAAAGTACCTTGAAAAAAAGGAGACCCKTAGTAGTATAAAGTAATATTCTTCCCCAAATGTTGGCATTACTGTGAGCTCTCTGTTGTACTGGATGAGGTAATTTGATCTTTATGTTCTAGCATGTTTYTGACAAATTAAAATCTTTGGGAAAAAAAGAAAGAGGCTTTTTGCTAGGAATTTTTTTAGTGTGTTTTAGAACCTGACAATGATCTTTTCTTTTCAAGGTGAGAGGCCCTCCGGCCGCAGGGGCATTTAAAGAAAGACCAACCAAGCCCACAGCATTTCGAAAATTTTATGAGCGAGGAGACTTCCCAATCGCCCTTGAGCATGACTCGAAAGGAAACAAAATAGCCTGGAAGGTAAGACGGGGCACAGCTGTGACAGCCAGCTGCGCTTGCTGAAGTGACATCTCCCAGTGCCAAACAAACTTGGCTGCTAAGTAAATAAACCGAAGTAATTTCTCAGCAAATGGAAGATGGTGGGTAAGCTCTTAGAGAAGGCCCCCCTGTGTCAGCCGTCCACCTTGACTAACAATTAAATTATAGCCTGCGAAGAAGAAAATGACAGAGTTGCTTTGCCTTAGAGAATTGTCTGCTGCCCARTTCATCTCTATTTTTATGAGAACCTGGCAGCCCGGCCTGTTTCAGGCAGTCCATCAAATGATGGAACTGGCGGCTGGATACAGAGAGCAACAGCCATTTATCTCCCCCAAATTTCACCTTCCTGCAGGACACTTCCAAATGGAAGCTTTAATTACCTAAATGGATAGGTCAAGATTGTCTGCTCCCTGGAAATGCAGAGCAGAATACAAAAGGAGGCCGATGTCCTTCCTGGGCTCTGCTGTCTGCAGCCCCTGTCAGCCTGTGCGGGCTGTCACACTGCCCTGTTAGAGGCTGACCTCCACCGCCAAAGCCATTACAGCACCGACATTTTTCTGACAAAAGGTTAATTGGCTTCAAAATAAATGTATTGCCTAATGACTCCATTCTAATGTGGCTGTGTTTCTTTCTAAAAGGCTCACTGATGTTATTTGTAAAAAGTTGCCAATCTCTTAACTGGAGAAGGCTTTTACATTTAATTTGAAAAATGAATGCGGATCTCTAGCCGATTCTGCTATTTAATTATTTTTGTTATCAACCACTTTGCTTTTGGTGATTTTTATCAGCTTAAAGGGCTTCTCCGCCTGAAGATGGAAAAGCAGTTGTGTATGTTTGCATATTACATCAAGCTAAGGAAAATAAAAGGCTTTGGCCAAATGTCAGTTAAATTTCACATTAACTAAAGAGTCTGGAGATTGGGTCTAAAGGTGAATGAGTACCAGATAAATTTATGTTAAAAATGAGTACCAAATAAATTTATGTTAAAAAAAATCACAGTATCAAATTTGTAATGAGTATCAAATAAATTTATGTTAAAAAAATCACAGTATTAAATTTAAAAATTAATCAAGATAAAATGCTTAGAAAGATACATTAAAATATAAACTTTCCCCTATAGAAAGGCTGGAAGGATTGTTTTCATTCACATCTAGTAAATCGTTAAAAATTRTTTCATATTAGTAGCAAATATTAAATATTAAATCTTGAGCATCACCTGATATTCAGTTATTGAAATTATGAAAAAATGAAAAAATGGTGGCATCATCAGTAAGCCTTGTGGCAAACATTTTTAGGGGGAGGGTAAGGAATGTTATTATTCTCCTTGTCTTCATCTCTATTAGAATGCAGATTTGTCATGTGAAAATATATGTGTGATGAAACACAATGTACAGCAAGTATAACCAATTTAGATAGTTTAGTCTTAACAAAAGTATATAGTCCCAAAGCTTTCTTGTGATTTGGGGGATTCATTTATATTTGATTTATTTCATGGATTTCATGCTTGCTTGTCTATGTATTTGTTTGTATAAGATAACAGTGGGATTGCTTAAAAATCTGATTTCTGTTGAGTAAAAGAATATGTCAAAATTCTTTATATAAAGTAAGTGGGTGTTGGTGTTTTAAAGTAATTGTAACCTACACATGAGTTACATTAATGAAAAATATTAATATAGCTTTATTTTGACTTGTTCAAATAATTTTAAGAGTGACTTTCAGAAGTGCCAAGAGGTTAAAAAAATCTTGAAACCAAATTATTAATAAAAATATAGGATGAAATATTTCGCCTTTATCTTTGATAATATTACAGTTGGCAGGGATAAAATTTGCTTTTCTTGTTTATGTTTATATTTATTCCCTTAAGCTACTRTTGATCATGGTACGGATTCAGTAAGCTAAAGAGTAATAATAAAGAGGAAACAATTTATTTGCTGTCACTGATAGTGTAATAGCATAAATTTATAGAAACATTTTATTCCAGAACCTATAGACTTCTATCTTTTAGGACTTTACTACTATATTTCAATTGTATTAATAGCCTTGAAAATAAGACATTAATATTATTTAAACAGAGGATTGCGAACAATCCCTTAGTGTATTCATATGTATTCCTTAGAGCATTGACTGTGGGCACAGTCTCTTGCTAGATAGTTAGGAATTTATTTAGGATGCCATTCCTAAGGAAGGAGCTTGAATGTTAAAGGAAGCAGCACACCCTTCCCCCAACCCCAAAGCACATCACCCAAACTGTGAGCGGTGCCGTACCTTCCTGTGGGGGGGCAGAGCAAAGTGTCCAGTGAGGCAGAATTCTTGCCTTAACACCATCATTCCTGGTCCCTCACTGAAGGTTCTGAGCCAGGGAGCTTCCCAGGAAAATGTAAAGAGGGTCGTGAGTGCCTGAGATGGGTACACAGCCAAGTGAAAGAAGATCCATTTCTTTATCACATTTCAGTGGCCTGTGACTATGAAATCTTAGGACTCATCACCCTAAACCATGGTGGAGGCTGTCCCCTATTCTTAGGGTCATTCCCATATGTGGAATTGCAGCACAGGGATCCCTGCCATGTCATTAAGTGTGCCCATTTGTTCAGGATTAGCTGACCCAGTTGTCATCTTATTAGAAACCTCGTATCATCTTAAAATAACAAGAGCACTCTGTTGTACTACCTTATAAATAACCTAAGTAGAACTGAGTAAATGTCACCATTACGTCCATCCTGAAGTAACAGGACAGCCTCGTGCACATGGGAATGGCCATTTGTTCCATGTGCTAAAACAATATGGCAGGCTGAATTCCATAATCTGTCCAGTTCAGTCTATTTCTTATGGTATCACTAAAGATCAGAATGATGTCCAACACTATATCTGCGGTAGAGGAAGGGTTGTACACTTGTTCTTTTTGATACAGTACAACTGGCCATGTGTGGCCATTAAGCTTTTGAAATGTGTCTTCTGAGACTGAGGAACTGATTTTTAATTTTCTTTAATTTTAATAGCTGCATRATTTTCATATTAGACAGAGTGGCTGTAGATTAAAATAATGGCAGTCAAAAATAAATGCCTGCATCTGTTACCCAGATGTAAGAATTATCATTGAAATTAAAAAATAAGACATAAATGTGTTTTTATCGCAGTTGCCTGTATGTACCATAAATTCCTTGGGGAATATGAAAAAATTGCAAAATATTTGAGCAAAAATTTCTATATGCTTATTGGTTGCCAGTTTATTATCCATGAGACAGAAATAGATCCAACTTAGAATATGAAATCTACCAGGCAAACTCTGGGTTATATTTTTATTTTTAAATATGCATTTTCTAGATATGGCTTAATACGGCTGAATTCAGAAAAACAATAATGATTACTTAATTGATCAATTTTGGGGGGTGGAGGTAACAGGGATTGAACTTAGGAGGTGCTTGACCACTGAGCCACATTCCCAGCCCATTTTTGTATTTTATTTAGAGACAGGGTCTCACTGAGTTGTTCAGTGCCTCACCATTGCTGAGGCTGGCTTTGAACTGGCAGTGATCCTCCTGCCTCAGACTCCCGAACTGCTGGGATTACAGATATGCACCACTGTGCCCGGCTACTTAAAAGTTTTAATCTTCTGCCTTTTGTACGTTCCTCTTTGTTCCACTAACATGGAAGCATGGCAGTTCTGTGGCTGKCACCTTCAGTATCCACACTGCAGGCGCAGCAGTGGAAGAGCTAGGCAGTCTGAGTGAGTTACAAAGCGGATAATATTGAGCATGCACAATGAAAATCAAATTAAAATAAGATTGTGTTTGAGTTTTCTTATCTGAAATTTCCATTCTTCAATTCCTAGTCCTTTAGTGCTGTTAATCACAAGGATACTGATCAGGGTGGGAGTGGCTCAGGCTCTGCCTAAAGGTTTTCTTTGTAGGCATTTTGGAGAAAAAATATTAAGTAAACATGCAAAATATGCAGCACATTGTTTCTGCCTCTGTTGCTTAATCAAAGAGAAGAAAGAGTCATAAATATGGGAGGTGGCCCTGTCGTGGAGAGGAATCTCAGACCAAGTCTTCATTCGGGGTCTGGGGATATGAAATCTAGGGAAACTCTCGTGCGTTTCTGTACTCTGTCTTCTCAGATGCACCTCCAGGCAACCTCCACCCCCTCCCCCCCCCCACACACACACTCAGCCTTCAAGTGCGCTGAGGAGCACTGCTCCCCCACCTGGCCTCCTCCTCTTCTCCACGTCCTCCTCCGCCATCGCCTTCTTGTCTCCTTCTTGCTCATCCTTTGTCCCTTTCTATTCCTTCTCCCTCTTCTTCCCCTTCCTCTTCCTCCTCTGTTTTCCTTTTTATTTCTTACTTTTTGGAATCCCTGTTCTTCCCTGTAATTTTTCCAGGACTGATTTTGGTAGAAAGAACCAGGAGCCCACTCTAATTCTCCATTGGGCAGGAATCYGAGGTCCTTTAGAGCGTTCACTTGAATGAACTTGAAATAAAAATCATGACTTGCACACTTAGTGAGGAACACATATGAATCATAGGGAACACCATAAGATGCATCATTTTATTATGAATTTGGATTCCTAGTCATTGTTTTAAATAGCATGGAAACAAAGATTTCTTTAAAACAATCACCTCAATAGAGACCTTAGGAGAGAGTTGGTAAAATATATAGCATAAGCTCATTAGATTTTTTTTAAGTCAATGATATTTTATGGTTAGCCATTTACTTAATTTAGAGATTAAAAAAGCTATAAACACACATTAAAATGTCTCCAAATTTGATGTAGTTGATATTGATTCAAGTCATTCCCATCTATGAATAACATAGTGTTATGTGACAGTGTGTCATATGCACTAAGAATATATGGAAAAATGTTCAACATCTCTAGTAATTAGAGAAATGCAAATCAAAACTACTCTAAGATTCTCATGTCAGTCAGAATGGCAGTTATCAAGAATATAGACAACAATAAATGTTGGCAAGGATGTAGGGGAAAAGGC